AATTACATGACATTTTGAAAGGCATCATGATTTTCTATAATGTAATAATCTGAACAGGAATAGTTCAGGTTTAAACATAATCCTTCTGACTATAACTGCTATCCTTATGATATGCAATGCCATTTGAAGTGAAAACGTAATTGTCAGTTTTAGTTTGAAATTTCCTTCACTATGAATTAAGGAACCATAGTATTTTTAATTCAGTCATATTCAGGAAATAATAAAGACTACTAATGTTTGTCAAGTGTTTTTTTTAATGGTGAGAAAATGATTTATTTTTATTTGTTTATTTTTTATTTATTTTTTTCCCAAGGATTTATTTTATTTATACAAGAGCTGGGGCACAGGCCAGATGCTTGGGAGGGTGAGAGGATCCACCAGAGTCAAAGTGGAGAACAGAACAGGCAGACTGACTATACTGCTGAGGGAAGCAGCTGGCAAGACAGGAGAGGTCTGCCAGGCCATGTGGGATTCTCGCTGGCCAGCTGGGATCCAATCTGCGGCAGAGGTTGCAGACAGCTTCACAGTGTGGCGCTCAACCGCCTGCACCACCAGGGAGGCCTGATTTTTTTTTTAATTTAATTCTAACAGCCAAGAATCTTTTTTAAAAATTGCTTTATATCCTTATTAACATATTGGCAGTATAGGATTTCTCCCTCTATGTGTGGCTGCCTGCTCTTCCACCACCAAAACACCCATAGTCCTCCTCCAAAACCTCTGAAGGTGGGGTAGGGGTGTAAAATGCATTTTAAAGAATTATTATTTTCACTTTAATTTGCTCCTAGTTAAGCGAGGATACCCTATACACACACACACACACACACACACACTACAGAACACACATACTCACACTACAGAACACCCACACACACACCAGTGTTCAGACAGTGAAATCACAGGCATCTGAGAAATTCAGTGCATTTTCTAGGATGAGTTAAAAGGGCCTGAATGTCATCCTTCTCAACTAGTTAATATCCAAGCATTTGGCTCTTAAAAAGAGTTGAAGCTATGCCAACATCTCCACACTTTGTCTAGATTTTATATGGACATACCCTTGTGTTGCAGGCTTAATTGTCATATGTTGGGGTCCCCAGTACCTCAGAATGTGACTGTACTTGGAGATAGACCTTTAATGACTATCCAATGAAGTCATTCAAGTGGAATCTAATCCAATATGATCGTATTCTTACAAGAAGAGGAAATTTGGACAGACACACAGGGAGATGTTAATGTGAAGACACGGAAAGGACAACACAAATGTGACTGAGAGTTGGTTTATGCCTAAGTGTTCTATCAAATGTGTGAAGTTCTTAGAAGAATGACCTTGCAAAAATATCAATAAATATGTTTGTTATTTTATCACACAGGAAAGGACTATCTACAAGGCAAAAAGGAAGACTAAGGTGGTTCCTTCCCTCATGGTCCTCTGAAGAAGGTAACATGGCAGATCATCTTCAACTTTAAGCCTCCAGAACTGTAAAAAACCTAATTTCTGTCATTCAAGTCACCCGATCTGTGGTACTTTGTTATGGCATCCCCTAGCAAATGAACACACAATCACAAAAATGACTTAAACTATCATTCTGATCAGGCAGTATTTTGTTGAGAGTCTTTTCCTTCAACTCTCAATGAAATCCAACCTCTTATATATTCCCCACAGTTTTGTATTATCCCAGTACCCAACAATATTTTTTATTTTGCTTAATTGTAATATCCATGTTTTCATAACTGATATTCCTAGCAACAAATCTTTGCTTTAGATAACAATAACAATGGTTACTTATTTATTACTTAGTATGGCTTATTATTTATTAAGACTTTCATAATATGAAACACTGTTTAAGAGGTTTACAATGACTTTGTGGAGAAGGTTTAAAATGGTCATCTACATCATAGACAAGGAAACAAAGGCACAGCAATAAAGCATCAGCCAAGTAAACGGACAATATTGGAGTGTAGTTACAGCACTTTCGTATTGCATTATCCTTACTTCTATACTGAGCTATTATAATAATAATAATAATAACTTCACTGAACACTCACTAGGTGTCAAGACCTGCCTGAGCACTATATATACTTAAGTAATTTTATTCTCACAACAACCTATTGGATACATAGTATTATTTCCATTTCCTGGATAGAAAATAGAGGCATATAGGGTGTTAAAGGTCACAGTGATAATGTGCTGTGGACCAGAGGTGCTACCTTATGCACTTTGACACCCAAGCTTCTGCTCTTTTTCACCTACATAATGTCTATGGGAAAGTAGCAGTCTCTCTATCTTTCCTAATACATCTACCCTTCTAAACTCAACTTAATTTCTTCTATTAAGCCTTCTCTAATCCATCATTAACATCTTTTCTTAAAGCCTAAAAGCAGAATATTTATTTTGCCTAAGATAATGGATGGATGGTGATGGTATCCTCCTGGATGTTAACATTTTCTGTGATTGATGTTTTATCTCCATATTTAAATAACATACTTTTAGAAAGGAAAAAACCCCTAGCCATAACTGTAGCACTTTATTTGTGTTGGGGATAAATTCTTTAAAATTATTTCTTAAATTTAATTGAGCTGTCTTTAATTTCCTGTTAGGTGCTGCAAGGCTTTTATATTAGTCTGTCATGTATTCCGTGATCAAAATTGCATTGACTGACCCTCAAAGGCATCAAAACTTACCAGAGTTTTTCTGGTTTGACATTAGAATTAAAATCAATTATTTAAAGATATTGATTTTATAGGATTTTTTTTCAGAGGGTACTAATTTTTCTATTAAGAAATTACAGCCAAAGGGCCTCCCTGGTGGTGCAAGCAGTTGTTCACAGAGCTGTGAAGCTGTCCGCAGCCTCTGCAGTGCCGGTTCCATTTCCGCCGGCCTCGGAGTAACCCACATGGTGAGCAGACCTCTCCTGTCTTGTCCACTGCTCCCCTCAGCAGTGTATTTCGTTGGTCTGCCTGTTCTATTCCCCACTCTGTCTCTGGTGAATTTTCTCACCCTCCCGCGCATCTGGACTGTACCCGGGCTCTTGTATAAATAAAAATAAATCTTTAAAAAAAATTACAGCTAAAGCTAATATATATTCATATCTTCTCTTTCATAAAGTGTTTATTAGCAATATACCACATCTATCTTTTGATTCCATGATGTAGGATAGGCCAAATTGATTAAAGTTTCAGTTCAAGCTGATTTGAAAAGGACCAGAAATACTTAGTGTTAACCTATGTTTTTAAAAGAGCAATTATTTTTAAACACTCATCAGTATTCAACTCTGGCAAATTAATGGTTTAATATATTTTTTCTTTATAATGTTTTTCTGCTCAGTGGAATTTAGTCACATTAAACATTCTGAAATAAGAAATGACAAATTATACAAGCTATAACATTAATTTCCTCTTCTGGACTTACCAAGTTATTAAACACTGGAAAACAGCTATTAATAAAAGAGCAAGATACATACCTCAGTAAATATTCATTCACTTAAGCCAATATTAACACAGTTTATTTTATACTTCACTTAAATTTTTCATTTGTGACTGGAATTTGAAATTTCCTTCTATTCTCAGACACTAAGCTAATTTTAAAAGTACTACCAAATCAGGAATATTTATTTATGTGTACATATACATGTAAATGTGTGTATATATAATATAGTTTGCAAATACTTTTGGAGAAAATGTCAAATCATGATCTTAGTTATTCTTGCCAATGAATTACATATAAATCTTGTTTAGATTTATATTTCAGTAAAGTATATAATGTAGTTAATTTTTGTAAACTGAGCCTCTAAATGTATAAATTTATGTGAAACATAGAATTGATCAGTATCTTTCCATACTAATAATTTTATTTAAATTAATATATTCTGAGAATTAATATATCTACAAATTATTTTGCTAGATGGTCCTTATAAAATATTTTCATTCCATAATTTATTCAATATTTTTACCTGTTACTTATTTATATCTTTCCTGAGTAGCAAAGATACTACAGGATGCAAAGTTCCAAATGATTATTGATAAAGTGTAAACTACATCAGATTTACTTTAGAACATCTCTCCTTAGGAATAGTATCCTAATAACAAATCAGAATTTTTCAGAACCAGTCTATATAAAAGCTAGCAGTGTGTTTAGTTGGAAGACATACCTCTATTTTTTTCATTGGTGTGAAGTTATGTAAATATTTTTTTTGACACTAAATATGTTTTCAGACACAAACTCTCATGATGACTTAATGTATCATGGTATGTTATGCTTCATCGCTACTGTATTGTTTGTCTACCTTAGTTATTCTAATGCTCAAATATTCAAAACATGTACTAATTTTGTATGATGTTTTCTGAAAACAGAAGTATATGGCTTCTGAAGTGAAACTGTTTCTTCACTAAAAGCAGCATTGATGTTTCAGGACTTTAATACATCACAAGTTAAATGGGCTTAGAACATGTTATTTGCACTGATAAAAACACTTGACATTGGCCTTGGGTTTTTGTTAGTCATGTTTGTGTCTGTCTCCCCTAACTGCAGTGTAATGCAGTGGAAGGTAAAGAACATTTCTTATCTCTTTATTTAGATGCCCCCTATATAGACATCTATATATGTTTGATACTTGTACATATTGTTGCAGACACTCCATAATTATTTGATGAGTTTATTGAACTTAGATATTCATGCAATAGTTACCCCTATCCTTTTTTTTTTTTTATTATTTATACAAGAGCAGGAATACAGGCCAGATGTGCAGGAGGGTGAGAGGATTCACCAGAGAGACAGCGAGGAACAGAACAGGCAGACTGACAAAATACACTGCTGAGGGGAGCAGCGGGCGAGACAGGAGAGGTCTGCCATGCCATGTGGGTTGCTCCATGGCCGGCGGGGATCGAACCAACACTGCGGAGGCTGCGGACAGCTTCACAGTGCTGTGCTCAACCGTCTGCGCCACCAGGGAGGCCTCACCCCCATCCTTTTTAAAAGGGAAATAAAAATAAAGACCATTACTTACATTTAGAGCCTGATGAAGATGACCCACTAACGGTAGATCTTGATCCTCCCTTCATGGAAAAGACTCCTTTTCCCCGGCGAGTTGTTGTTACAGACACTCTGGGACGCTTCAGTGGAATTACTGCGCGAGGAGGGGGAGGAACCCGACCGTGGTAATCAAATAACCTACAGAAAACACAAATGTGACTGAGAGTTGGTATATGCCTAAGTGTTCTATCAAATGTGTGAAGTGCTTAGGAGAATGACCTTGCAAAAATATCAATAAATATGTTTGTTATTATATCACACAGGTATTTATTAGAAATCTCGTTTTTCATGAAAGAAATAGGATTCTATATAGCCCATGCTTTCCAGACATTCTTATTTGATTCTCTAGTGTGAACTTATTTTTCTATGTTATGAAAAGACAAGGAGCTTTGCTCCAACAGGACCATGTAATTTGTTGAAACTGTGCAAACCTTAGTTTGTAAGCATATTTCTTTGTTTGGTTTAGCAGACGTATTATTCTCCGGGGTAGAAATCTTGCTCTTACAGTAAAACACTAACACACTAGTTTGAATAGAGGAAAAGATCATGTAAAATCAGGGAGAAACCAAAGGAAATTATTGTCTGATAAATCAAAGTGAGATAACCTTAAAGAAAATCGCTATGAGAGATAAATCAATGTGGTGCATACCTCCCCCTAAGGACTTTTTAGTTAATGAAAGGCTAGACAGACTGCAGCAAAAAGGAGACAGAGTTTGAATAAGATGGTTCTAGCACGAGGACTAAACGTTAATTTACTAGGGGGAAAATTATCAGGATTTCTTATGACTTTGATCATTGTTTGACATATAATTTGAGACTAAAGGTATCTGCATATTCAACAGTAGAAAGTTTGTCTAACAAAAATAATACCAATAAACTCTTAGAAGCTTTTCCTAAAAAGTGAAAAATGCCATTCATAATCAACATATTTCCATTGAACAAGAAAAAGAATAAAAGTATAAGCATAAAAAAGTAGGAGTATTTAGTCACTTCTATAAAGATAGACCTATATTAAAAAGCTTTAAGTAATTTATTCTGTATACACATGAACAGCAAAATTTTGTATGACTTAGCACATTTGAGAAACATGAAAGATCAGAGTAAAAAATATGAAGATATATTTACTTATTTATTTTAAAATATTTGCCAGTGAAACAGATGTGTGATGTTATCTGCGATAAAGAAAATATTCATTGACTTAGAATGATTGCTGTTATATATTATATATGACACCATTACATGGATTATATTCTCATAATTGCTTTAAAACAATCAATAGAAATCCAAAGTCAGAAATGAGAAAACTAGACTAGGAAGAAAAATTAAAAAAAAATCATCTATAAGAGTCTATTTCATAAAATCATGTTATTTACACTTACAGATGAAAATATCATCCTTTTTGGGGAAATAAATATAAGAAAGATAATATTTTTGATAGATTAGTTTCTAAATATTTATCCACAGTTAAAACTAGACGCTATGAGGCAAAAAAGTAATAATATGAACTACGTATAAAGTAGAACTCCTTTGTATCAGGAGTGTCTCCAACTTCAGAGTGGCAAAATGTTAAATTTGTTTTGGAAACATGCTGGGGAAGAACTAAGAGGTGTCTGGAAAGGAAAAGAAATGAAATGAGACGGAGTTCAAGAGAGGTGCTTTCCTCTGCGAATAAGCAAAGTCCATTAGAGCCAAAGAACCGCCGGCAGAGAACAGGTCGTGGGTGTCAACGCATTATCGTTTACTTCAAGGAGTGTAGGAGGTCGAGGCTGAAAAGGGTTATGAACATCATCTATACCACTAGGGGCTTGAAAATCAAAAGGGTCAACCAAACCTGCCCCTCATTTCAATCACAAAACAAGGTCTATATTACTTATTTATAAGTTGAATTCACAGAACACCTTAAGTCAGTGAACCAAAATGCGAAGGTGCTTTTCATAAGCTACAACTCCCAAAGCTATTGAAGGAAAATAAAATATAGCAATTGACTGAAACATTGTTTTTTTCATCAGAATTCTGTTTATAGTGAGTCAAAGAAATGTTGCCTTTACAAAGCATTGGATTGGCAAACATTCTTGAGATTGCAATCCAACAGATTTAAGTGAAACCAAATCTGAAAGGTTAACAACTTAAAATGCCTTCCTTCCTCTCATGTATTTTTTTTGCTCCTTCCACTCTTAGAATTATATTCCCTCTTATTTTTTTTTTTTTTGATGTTTTTCATTTTTCCCTGGTATTTCTTATTCAGCATACTGTTTCTCCTCCAATATTTACTGGTCAAATTTTACAGAAATAATGATTTATCATGAGGTCAAATAAATAACTATACCTTCCCTAAGGTCGTCTTTAACATAAAAATGCTAAATAAGTGGTAAGCAGTAAATAAGTATAGTCAGCTTTTGGAAAAATAATTCATTGAGGACATTGAGAATATAATTTGCTTTATTTAGTAAATATTTCTAATTTTCATGTGGCCATATATGTTTGCTTTAATAGTATCTGAAATATGTGAATTCATTACTTATGAAAAGGTAAAAACTGATCATTTTAATATTAATTTCCCTGATAAAATACACATAATGCCTCTAGGAAGAATGCGGATATTTGCTTTTTAAAAAATAGCTGCTTTGTGAGTGAATAGAGACAATTTAATGGCATATTGGCATGTAAAATGAATGTAATTTTGAAAGCTTGTTTTTACTGAAAGCTTTAAGCCTTGACAATAATAAAACCATACTACAAAAAATAAATGCAAAAAAACACAACTCCCAGTCTCACACCTTAAAACAATTATTGTCATTCTCTAATCGCTTTTCTATAAGCATCTATATTTTTCCCATAATTGAGAACATAATAAATGGACAGTGATGTACATATGGCTGATTTAATTTGGTTTATATTAAAAACATGTCTCAGACCTACTAAGTGGTCTTCCTAATGTTTAATTTAGTTGCTGCTGTGGATTTCCTCAAAAAATGCACAACATTCTAAAAACAATCATTACCTGATTATTGGGCACCTGACTTGATGCCTATTTTTCACTGTCAACTAATGTGATTTTAAAATTCAAGGAAGTATGTTGGAAATGTAATGTTTCATTGAATTTTATTATTGAACATTAATTTTTTATTTTAGAAAAATAGGCTTTGAAGAATTGGTAATGGCCTGATTTCTTCTAAATTTCCCTCAGAGAAAGAGTTCTTCATTTTCCTTACTTCTGAACCAAAACTTACAGCCACTATGTGATTAATCAAAATATGTGGTCTGGACTACATAAAGAGCTAGGCTGCTCAGAGTTAAAACCTGAGAGCAAACTCAGGGCTATGTTCTCCTAGAACTTTTTAGCAAGTAGATGATGGTTAATAACCAGAGACCAGAAAATAATTTGATTTTACCTTGTACCCTCTTCAGTATGGTTAACTTCTGACAGATATATAGTCTACAAAATGAAATTAGGTGTGTATTCATTTGTAAGAAAGGATATATTTGAAATCCACTTGAGTAGGAGAATGCTTTTTATGGCCTAGTAGTGTTTTCATTTCCTATACTGTTTGAACTATTCAAAATTCATAAAATCTATAATTTCCACTCTGATTTCAAATAAGCTTTTGGTTACAACTGAATCAGAAAATAATTTTTACTTGAGACCAGCATTGAATAATTTCTTTGGCTTTTTTTGGGATAAACTTTCCTAAGATTTTTAGCAAAGTTCCCCTGGGATCATGTGCAAATACTTCTTGGACATGCTCTTAAAGGCAAGATGATTGAAATCTTGAATAATCTTATTTGCAGCATTTTGTCCTTAATATAATTTTTATATCTCTCATAACTTTGTTTTCTGCTATACTTTGTACACAGTTTGGGTATTAAAAAGTTAGTGTATTTAAATAGCCATTGTGAAACTATAAATCAGTAAAATGATTCCTTGTTTAAGTTTATAATTCTGTAATGTGCGTATTACTTTGCCATAAAGGAAAATGGCAATAAAAAGAATGCAGTAATTTGTCTAAGTTTAAAAAGTCAACACGTGCAGAGTTAGGTTGGAAATTCATGTCTTCTGACTCCAAATCATGCTCTTTGTCAACTGCACAATGCTCTTATTTCCAAATATTTTAAGTGTAATACCATTCTACCAGAAGGTAATTTAAATTTGCATAATGAAACAGACACTGCTTCCTGCTAATGTTTTCCCAATATTTATGAATATATACTGTGCTCTATAACCAGTGATCTGAAACAACTGCAACTTGACTTAGAATTTTTTTTCATTAACAGCAGCTCCAGTAGCTTCTCTTCTGTTAACTTATACAAGGTCAAAGTGGTCCCAGGATTGAACAATACCATTTTGAATTCAATATACAATTATCCATGTAAAATATAACTATGTGCTTTCTCTTTTCCTAACACAAAACAAAGCAGTTTGGGAGTTAAAGAAAACAGCTGATTGTGTGCTCCCTGAAGGTAAGTATGTTCAGCTGGAACTGGAATGTTCTGGGAGCAGAAGGGAAAATAATCCTCAGAAAATCATATGAAGTAGAAGTTAGTTTCATGCTCACTTCATGGATAAGATGGTAGGTTTCGTGGTATTAAATAACTTGTCCAAGTTTGCCTCACTCATTTAAAAGAGGAAAGGTTAACCATAAGTACAAGAAGAGTTTAATTTATCAGAAATTACTGTGGGTCAAACTGTCAGCACTGACTCTGTAAGCTATTCACCTTGTCTAGTCTCCCCATTCTGTTTTCCTTTCATGGGACTCTAGGTTCACAGGGTTATATCCATATGTAGCAGATGCTTATGTCTTTCTTAGCCAAATACAAAAAATGTAAAATAAACTAATGAGAGCACAGACTGCTCAATCTGTCCGCAATACAACCATACTGATTTTTTTGACACTGATACACCAGATTTTATATGACAAATATATAAAATTTTATATAAGACAAATATATAAAATATATAAAATGAGTGCTTTTGGAAATTGTACCAAGATAGCTTTTTCTGTGTATGGACAATCACCTGAAAGCATTAAACTCTGTGTAGTGCCAGCAAGCACAGGGCAGTTTCTCTATCGTTTGGGCAGATGGGTAAGGTAGAGTCTGGAGCCCTCAATGGCTTTTTGAGGCTTTAATGCTCTTTCTGCACCAATTGTTATGGGGCAAGCCAAGCAGGGGAGGGGGGGCAGGCTTCTCAGCCCCTCGCGAGTATTTACTCTTTGGGCTCTCTCTGGCTTCATCTTGTGGTCCTGCCATGCTGCACGCTTGCGCATACCCACATCACACCATATTCCAGGTGTCCACAATCAGGCATGCATGCCCCAGGCCCACACTCTTAAACCCCTTCTGCATTCAAGACTGCAGGTGATAGCCACAGAGGCCAGAGCCATAAAAGCCTGAGAATTCACTTACCCTACACACTCTATAAGTATTTGCCTAGTAAACACTTTTTGGCAGGAAAGACAGTCTCTCTCTCTCTCTCTCTCTCTCTCTCTCTCTCTCTCTCTCTCTCTCTCTCATAGATGATTTAGTTAGCTAGCTAGCCATCATCTATCTAATGAGTTTATTGAGCTATAATTTATCATTAGAAAATGCTGATTTTGGCTTTTTTGCTTGCTTTCAAATGCGTGCTTTCTTTGCAAGATAAGAGAACTAAAAACCAGACTACTTGCCGAAACCTATAAGGTGGGTTACCAGAATTTAGGCCCCCTGCCATCTATACCAAACCCCTTTTTAGGTAGAAATTATTTAAATGCAGAAAAAAGTCACATGATAAAAAACATTTCAAGAGATTAAAATGCTAAAACACTTTCACATTGACAGATTTAAGGACAATATATATTAACTGAAAACTTTCTTTACTGCAATTTAGGATATAGTTCTGCATCCAGAAAAAGAAACTATCAGAAAATGTCTTTAAATTGTCAAGACTAAAATTTTCCAATAGTATTTAGACTAATTAAATGCCATCTTGTTTTACTAGTAAATGGAATTATTTTGATGGTGTCAGGTCTTCATATCATTTTTAGGGCAAGTTATTATATGTGATATTTAAAATAAAACATATTTTGTAGAAATCATAAAAATGATCTGGGAAAATAATCCTTAAAGATTTGTATTTGGTCATAAAAGGATTACTAATGAAATAACTTGCTTAAACCAGTCATTTGAAAGTAGTGGTAAGGGAAGTATGGTGGTAGGTCTGATTTCCATGTAGATACAGCTGTTTCTTTTAAATCCACTGACTGATAATGCTTTATATCAGTTTTGCATAGTTACTGCATTGGTTATGGAATCTACATGGATACCTAGCTTATGATTGTAGTTGTGTTATTAATTATGTGACCTTGTGAAAACCAAAATCTCCTAAATTGAGGGAGAAACTCATAACATAAATTGAGTAGCTATTATGTGTGAGGCTTAACAATAGTGCCCTGGATGTAAAATGGAGTATCTTTCCTGACCAATGGAGGAAGGAAGTCAGGTAGAACCACAGTCATCACAGAAGGAAATACAGCCGTGCAATCTATACAGAAGAGCTATGAAAGAAAAGTGTATGTTCTTGAGAGAAGCAGGAACTAATTTAGTTTGAAAGTACTGTTCATGCCGAGATCTGAAGGATGAAGTCAAGTTAACTAGATGGTGGAGACAAGTAGGAACAGAAAAAATGACTTCAAAAGACAAATGTTCTGAGGCAAGAAGTAACATGGTGTTCTGTGGAGACAAAAAAGATCCCGTGTGACTGGAGCAAAGAGAATAGACCCTTACATGGGATCATGAGGTTTCTTCCCTATTTAAAATGTTTATTAGAAACTGTTTTTCCAACTATGCATTTTTATACCTGGGGATTTTTTTTTGTTTGAATATAACTCATAATTAAAGATTTGTAAGACATTTACTTTTTTTTTTTGGTACAATGAATGATCTATGTACAATTTGTATTTGTTTTGCATATCTCTGAGATGATGGATTTCAGTCACCAATGTTTAATTAAATAACACAAATCCCCCAACACCATAAACCAAATTTCAGTTACCACAAAATATTAACTGTAATTTTTTAAAGTTCAAACATTGCTGCTACTGTTTCAGTTCACAAATGACTTAGTAAATAACAGATGTATATTGTGATTATTCACCAAATACATCACCTTTTTAAAAGTCTGTCAGTAATTTGACACTGTGCATCTGTTATTCAGTTTACACACTGAATAACAAATATGACAGCAAATATGTAGTTGTATTGTCTCCCAGTGATAAAACCATGGATAATTAAAATGGATATTCAAAAGAGGGAATTGATAGAACAAAGAATTGAAGAGTAAGATTGGAAGTTAAATTAAAATTAAAATGTAAATGGAATTATAGAATAGCTGACTATAGGTATGCTGGCATTCTTCTATTCAAAAACTCTAGGTATGGAGCAAGAGGAACTTAGTAAAATTGAACTTATTGACATAATTGAGGAAAGAGGTTGTAATGTGATAAAAAGGGATGAAAATGTAGCAGAAGTGATACACGCAAAAGAACTACATATTAAAGGAAATCTTGGAGCTAGTTCACAACATTGATAAAATGTCAAAGCAAATCAAATTTTAGAAAGGAGAACACAAATTCACTAAGGCATGAAAGAAGGATTTACTCCAAATTGTAAGTTATAGAGAAGGTAAGTACTATTTAAATTACTTTTGATAAGTCTTTAACACAGAGAAATAAAACACATCAATTCTTACTACTTTTGCTGTCATAAATTACATTGCACTGAATACCTGTTCATTTCCCTATATATTTCCCTATATATTTATAACTGACACCAAGAGTTTTTAACATTTTGACAAAATTTTTTAAAGGTCATGGAAGATTCTATTTTTCCCATTGATTTTTAACATCACTCTGTATTGTTTCCTTTTTTGGTTCCACACTGCTAGGCAAAGCAAGACCTGCCCATAATTTTCACTAAGCTTATGTGTCATATTTAAGCTGATTTATTTTAGGAGATTGAAGTTATTTTATGAGTTTACAAAACTTTGTCTCAAGGAATTCTAAGTCAACAACAGACCTGGGAAATAATATTGGTTAAGTAATTCTTTAGAATATTATCCAAATATTAGAAACACTTTTTAAGCTTAATTATCATCAAAATCCTATAAGTTCAAGACATACTATACTTCATCAGTAAATACAATGAAAATAGGAAAATCTGGCTATATTATATATTCCATTTGAACTTAGTATTTTGTTCTTACTATATAAAGATATTAAACAAATCAACCCCTACTTGCTTTTGTGAATACTTGTGAATGAAATATGTACAATAGTTAAAATATAATTTAAATTGATGAAAAACAGGATGAAAACTTTACATACCGATTGTAGAAGTCATCTCTGTAGTAATCATAGTCAAAGACATAACCACTAAGGAGGGAAACAAAAATTAGTTAACATTTGCTTTATTCACATTAATTTTAGTATTACTAAATTATGATGTTATAAAAATAATATATTACTATGAAGATGTTATAGAAATAACTTTGTGCTCATTTTCAAATATTCATTTTTCAACATAATAATGTATCCAGAGGGTTATGAAATAATGTCCAATTGAATATAATACCACATCAAACTATTGTTACATGTTGAAAATGTAGGCACTTTTAATGGTTTGTGTTGTTTGGAATGGAAGACGAGAGCAGGTAGCAATGTAATTTTCTCTCTTTTTTTTAAAATTTATTTTATTTATACATGAGCCAGGGTACAGGCCAGATGCGCAGGAGGGTGAGAGGATTCACCAGAGACAGAGTGGGGATCAGAACAGGCAGGCTGACAAAATACACTGCTGAGGGGAGCAGTGGGCGAGACAGGAGAGGTCTGCTCACCATGTGGGTTGCTCCGAGGCCGGAGGTGATGGAACCGGCACTGCAGAGGCTGCGGACAGCTTCACAGCTCTGCGCTCAACCGCCTGCGCCACCAGGGAGGCCCAGCAATATAATTTTCTCCAAAAAAAATGCCGAACATTTTTCCCCCAAAATGTATGTAATATAGTTATTCCTTTTTTCTAAGATTTATACAGTGAGACCAAATAATGTACCAAAGATTTATAAATAATAGAAATGAAAGGTTTAATGACCTATTCACTGTGAGCATGATATAGAAATGTGATTTTTTCTGAAATTCTGCATTTTTTTTTAATTTTAAGAACTTGTGATTCAACACTTCACATAGAAAAAACTCAAGAAAACCCTGGCAAAGTCCTACCAAAAGCAACTATAGTTGAAAGCAGTTAATGCATACATTTTAATACATGCGTTTCAGTGATAAGATCATTATGCTAAGCACCTTTAAGGTATATATAATCAAATTACTCCTATACCTTTTTATAAATGTTGGAATATAAATATAATGTAAATATAATATATAGAAATCCCTTTATATACATTATTCCCTTTTAATTTTAGTCCTCAACACAACTCTGTTGTACACAGTAATAGGAAGAAAATAAGATGTAAAGGAGCTAAGTAACTTAAAGGAAAAAAATCTCCAGAATTGATTTGAATCTGGAGATTCTATATCTATATCTATATCATTATTCTTCCTCCTTGCCTGTTTAACTTGTCTGATGCAATTTTTTGTTTAACAGTACTGGAGACAGAAGATAAGCTAATGGACAAAAAAAAATGTTAAATAGATACTACTTGGAATGAAAGGAATAAGATAGACAAAATCAGAGGGGGAGAACTATTTAAAGAGATTACTCAGTCCTCTGGCCTCTCTGAGGAGGTGATATGTAATTGGAAGTCTGAAGGATGAGAAAGGTCCTATCAAGAGCCAGGGGAGAAAAGGAGCAGATGAGGGAATAGAAAGCACAGAGGCACAAGGTAGAAAAATCCTGGATAGAGTCAGTGAAGCAAGAAGGTCAGCCCAAGACTGCTGCCATCTCTCAGACAAGAATTAAGTGTCATGGGCATACTGCAGCAGAGAATATGACGAGGTGTAGAAGCTTGTGATGTAGATCACAGATAGGGTCTGAAGCTGGATCGCTCTGTGTGTTCACCCCTGCTTGCTAGCTACTTACTTGATATGACATTTGCATTAGTTTGATAGAGATGCCTAACAAAGTAACACAGATAACACACAACAAAGTAACACAGAAATTAATTTTACAATTCTGGAACCTAGAGTCCAGATCAAGAACAGGTTTGTTTTTCTGAGGCTACTTTCTTTATCTTGCACATGGCTATCTTCTGGCTGTTGCCTCACCTGCTTGTCCCTTTGTCTGTGATGTGTCCTACACTCCTCTTCTAGTAAAGACATCAGTCATACTGGAGTAGAGCCCACCCAAGGGACTCCATTTTAATTTACCTCTTTAAAGCCCCTGTCTCCAAACATAGTCACAGTCTAAGATACTGGCAATTAGAGTCTCAACTATAAATTTGGAAGGGGAGCAAAATCAGTCTATAACAGCACTGAACAATCTAATCTTTCTATACTTCATCAACAAAATGGGATAACACAGTTTCTAGCATATTGTAATCGCTCACTCACTCATGCATTCAATTAATGTTTTATTTTTTAAAATCAATTTTCACAGAACTGTAATTTAAACACAGTTTATCTGATTTTTCCTATTGTGTCATGTTTCCTTGAGCATTTGTTAATTTAAATAAGCTAATAATCTTTTTTCTTAATATTTTATTTTATATAACTCTTACATCATTTTTCATCTTTGTACAATGTATGCATTTTCATTTTGGTTATATTCCCCATACAAATGCACCCCCCCCTTATTTTGACTAGTTCTTCCTCTCCCCGCCCTCCCTAATCTAATCCCGCCCCCTCACCTCCCGTAGTGTGTCTGGTTTATAGTTGCTTGTTGATTTTGATTATCACTTTGCATTGATTAGTCTTTTTTCCTGGTCTCTTATTTAGGTTTTCTAAATTCCTGCTATGAGTGAGACCATCCAGTATTTTTCTTTTTCTTTCTGACTTATTTTGCTGAACATGATCCCTTCTAGCTCCATCCATGTTGCTGCAAACTGCATGTGTTTATCTTTTTTGATTGCTCAGTAATATTCCATTGTGTATATATGTACCACATCTTCTTGATCCAGTCATCTATTTTTGGGCATTTGGATTGTGTCCATAGCTTAGCTATCGTAAATAGTGCTGCTATAAACATAGGGGTGCAGGTGCCCTTTGGAATTACTGTTTCTGTGTCCTTTGGGTAAATACCTAGGAGTGGAATTGCTGGATCATGTGGAAGCTCTATGTTTAGTAGGTCAAGAAATCTCCACACAGCTCTCCATAGTGGTTGGACCAGTTTGCACTCCCACCAGCGGTGCAAGAGAGTTCCTTTTTCTCCACAACCTCACCAACATTTGTTGTTGCTAGTTTTTTTAATATGTGCCATCCTCACTGGTGTAAGATGGTATCTCATTGTAGTTTTGATTTAAATAAGCTAATAATCTTAATGCTGTGATATGTATAATTTTATTTTTCCTCAGATGTTAAAGAGAAGATTTTAAAGGTTTATGAACAAGATGATGGGAATATTTAATTAAAGGGATATACATTTATCTTCATTTTCATATATGTCCTCTCTGTAAACTCCCCAAGTGCCAAGTACTGTATAGATCTGTTTCCCAGTTTTAATAGTCCCGAAAACATAAAAAATTTAATGGGTGAACTTAATGTGGTATATACACATGTTGAGTCTCAATGATGCACACCTGTAACATATAATAATGGTAATAAAATAATTTTCAGAAGTTACTAATTCTAATAGATAAATTTGAATATTTTATTAACTATCTGATAGGGTGCTAAATATTTTAGGGGAATTAAATAGATAATGTTCGAGGGGTCAAAATTTTTTTTAAATGTTGCAACAACATTGGTTTAGTGCAATATTGCAATATCGCTTATATTGGTTTCATGTATACATCATTATAAATTAGTATCATTATATACTACATTATGCTCACCACTAATAGTCTAATTCTATGCACTTGATCTATTTGACCTAATTTATTCACCCCTCCCCCTTCATTAACTTTGTCTTATAATCTAAAAGTTTATTTTTGTTTTATTTAGTTCATCTGATTGTTTTGTTTCTCTATATACCACATATGAGTGAAATGCTGTGGTGTTCAGACAGACATTTTCATACAATGGAAATTCTTAGTATTTTCAGGTGTCATCAAATTGACAGAGATATGATATGTGACTAAATTTTTTTCAAAATGTTTTTTTCTGAGACCTTTTATATTATAATCTCAGAATGTAATTGTAAGAAGAATATATGGCAATTGACTAGTTAATACATGTTACTAATATGGATGACAGTGATGATTCTACTCATATATCATACATGTTTAGAAAATACTTCAATAAGTTAACAGTCTTTTGGAAATTTAAAAATTCATGAGAAATAAGAATTCAGTTTACTTTCCTCAGTTAAATCATCTTGCCCAGCTTGCTGACTTTTTGTTCAGTCCTGACTGTTAAAGCATATTTCTAAGAACCAGTTATTGCTAAGTATCCTGAATTGGTTGATCTCCAAGTCCCACAGACTGCCATCATGAACTCAGTTTTACTTGCCAAAGTTAAAAATGAAATGAAATGCACAAACAGACTTGTCCTGGTAATCATAAGCCTACTTTTGTCTTAATGGTTTGGGCTTTTAGCAAAAATGCCATGGTTATAGTTGAGTTAGGTCATATTACTGTAAAATCAAGCTGAATTTCCAAGGAAGAAGAGGTTCAGGGAGATGAAAATAGATCACCACAGGGTAAGTCTGATTCATTCTACTTCCTGCTGCCTTCCTCAACTGGTTTTATGTGGTCTTTTTATTTTTCTTTCCCAGAATGTCTCTTTCATAAAAATCCCTTCTTTTCCTTTTTGTGCTAGCACCTACTGCAAATTAACTGTCCAAATGGCATTTCCAGGAGTTTTAGTCATGTTTATAAGGTGTTCTACATATCTTAGAATTTCATTGCTAGGAAAACTTGTCTTTCATATTAAAAAAAAATCTTCCATCCCCATCATAAACCATGAATAAATGCTGTATTGTGCACAAATTAATTTGCTTTGGCTTTTAAGGGAAAGTTTACCTTTCAACATTTTTTTTTTTTTGCAGTGGTTTTATATGACTACTTGGTTCTTTGCCCATTGAAAACAAAATAATAATAAATTAAATGTTTTGGTCACTCTCTAGGAACAAACTAAGTCCAAGAATATTATGACTTTCATCATTTAGGAACATGGTCAATGGTAATGGGTCAACTTTCTAGAAAGTGAAATAGTAGTCTTGAATATTGAACACAAATAAATACTTCATATATTGATTTAAAATCTAGTACATTTTTATGACTTTTTTTCTACTTCTCAGTGTAACTTTATTCTACTTGTTCAGATTC